ACTTCTGAACAACGTTAAACCAGACTTCAAGCACAAAAAGTAAGACAAATAACTTACAGAGAGCAAGAAACAGAGGAGCAACATAATGTATGACTTCAGGCTCAAAGAACAAGTCAAGCTAAAACACAATCTAATTTCAAATAAAGCTTCGTTTGATTACGTGCTTTTTTATTTTTTGCGTCACAGCTTTTGTCTATTTACTGAATAATTTGCTGAAAAAAATACTAATCTATACATTTCAAATCTAAATTTTCACCATGTAATGCCGGGTAACTCAGCTAGTGTAATATAAATGCTGTAAAAAAAAAAAAGAATTCAGTTTTGTTAAATTTTAAGTAAGCATACTTGTTTGTGTTTTCCAATTCTAGCTGTATGGTCATAATTCCAAACAAATGTTACAAACGTCTGATATATTTCACACACACACACAAACAATTACCTTACCTACAACCATGTATGGTACTGCCAATCTCAAATGTTAAAACATCTGCCAAAACTTACCTTAAGAGCATATTCTTTTCCAGTTGTGGGGTCCTGGGCCACAAATACAAATCCAAACCCACCTATAATTTGTAAAGATCTATTATTACTATTAGACACAGTAATTCAATGACTTGCCACAGTTAATGTATTACTATTAGTTCAAGAACATTAATGATTAAAATAAAAAAAAACTATTTTGTGCATCATACATTAATTCTCTTTTCAGTTAAGTATTACTAAATATCAAACTATACACCTTATACATGGAATAAGAAGTATTTTTTCACACTCGAATTTCCAAAGGTTCCTCACATCTATCAATCAAGATTTAGGCTTAAACACGCCTACCTTCTGCAATGACTCTTTTTACTCGCAATTTCTGAGTTCCCAACTCAACTATTTGACCAACAAATTCGTGATCTTCTTTTTGCGTGCTGCTACTATTAGAAAAATATACAAGAGCGGACTTAAAAAGATCTGTCATATTTATTTTCTTAAGAAAACAATTTTTACGAATAATGCATAACTGATTTAACTGTTTTCAGACAAAATCGAAAGTGAATAAATTACTCCACAGTAACACTATCAGCCATAACGGCAGTTGTGACGTCACAGAATTGGAGTAACTAGCTGTCACCTAGTGGTGTACATATTTGTTTATGTGGGTTAAAATATTTTCATAATTGGATAATCCACTCTCAATCATCATTGGAGAGAGCTGTTTAGAATTTCTTTCGGAATTTTTGCACAAAGAGCTGCTTGCGCCTAACGATTACAAATTTCCAACAGATAGACAGATAGAGGGAAGGCAGCTAGTCAACAGCTCCCATATATTTGGTGTTTATGGATGATAATGAATTATCTTTAATTTTAAAGATATCGTATAGGTCTGCTAGATAAAAGCAGATGTAAAATGAAGTAACGAAACTAAACACAAAGTGTAATAAAAAAAATTCACAACCTTTATTAAAAGAATAAACACAAAAAATGTGTTACTTGCTTAAATAAACATGACGTACTGTTGCTCTGACTGGATACTTTCAATTGTTAACTCTTCGGGATCCTGTTCCAAACTAAACTGACCGCATGTTACCTTCCTTGGCATGCAGGAAACCTCGCATTTATCCCGGGCGACCAGCTCTGTTCATGTGACTGGTGTCATTCTCATTACAATATAGGTGAGGTTATAACCTCTAGACTTCATTTAAACCACTGTTGAAGCACATTGCTGTCGAAATCCTTGCACAACGTGCAGTATTGATTAATTACCTCCATGGCAGAATAGGCATTATTCACCTTGATAATAAGAAAAGAACAAAGGTATCTTAGAACAAAATCAACTTAACAGCTTTCTCGGCCACATGTCAGCATAAATACTATAATATTACAAGAAGATAAAAATGTATGGTATATTCATATATCACACATACAACTCTTTGGCTACTCTTATTTGGCCGAATAGCTAGATATACCTCACTAGTGTAGGGTATCAACAGTCCTAAAGTGCAGGGCACGTTTTTGCGGCAAGGGACTCGAACCACAAACTTTCAGATTCAGTTTGAGCAAACTAGTCACTAGACCATGCTCGGTCCAAAATCATAACATGTAGCAGAAGAAGATAACACAGAAGACCAAACATTGTGATATTTTCAGGTAATTTTATTTCTACATAAGTATCTAATAGACCCACTAATAACAGCAGAGTTCATCAGGAAATTCAGAGTTGTTTTGAATCTGTAAACTTGACTGTGGTTTCTTTGTGTAAAATAAAAAAGACTAGACAAGTTTGAAAAAACGATCACGATCTTTACTACAAGCAAACAAAAAGAAGATGCAGCATACGCACTTGTGCAAATAGGAGACACTCAATTTTACAGGATTGTTGAGTAGATCGTCAGCTTTTCTTCTCTGTTGAGCTAGTCACGATAAAAAAAACAGGTAGAACCGAAAGCAAATTGTTACTTCAATTTCAAAAGAATACTCGTATTCCTTCTCTTGCTACTAGAATGTTATTCTCTCACAGCATTCATTGGCTGTAACATACATACATCATCCACTCAGCCAGCAAAGGATGTTGAAGTTTCTGACCCTTTAACACTTAAACAGAGTATACTGAATGGTCACAAGTAAATAGACACCTAATTTTTCGTCATTTAACTGATTTATGCTAACTAATTTATCTTCACAGAGCACTATATTGTTACGTCTCCGTCCGTTAGTTAATTTTCCGTAAATTCGTTCCGAAGAAACTTTAGCGACACAAGTCCTTTTTTAAATAAAACTGGTTTATTCTTTTTCAATACAACTTTACGATACACTTAATTTCAACAGTCGCTCTGTAACAAACGCTGTAATTCTCAACAATATTCAATATTCAATATTATAATTATACTAGTCTATTTTT